CAGACAGAGACAGACAGAGATACAGAAAGTGAGAAATCACCCCCCAGGGGGGATGGTCACGCCACAATCCCTTCTCCTCCGTTCTCCTCTCGGGATCTTGGGCATGCACACACACGTGCCCGGCGTGAGTTTTAAGCCACCGGGTCCGGGACGTGAACCGCAGTCAACTACGTGGGAGTCCAGCAATATAGCCATTACTCTAACTGCTGGTCCCCTCCCATTGCATTTTTACTGTTTATATACTGTACGTTTCCCGAATCAGTTGGTAGGCTCTTTGAGGACCGAAACTTGGGCTATTTCTTTAATATTCAATTTGTTTGTGATTCAGCATGTATTGTGTGTCCTCCAAATTTCTGGGGCTGGGGTTGGGGAGGAATATGCCAGACACTCCTAACCGCCTACCCCAAACACTTATTTGTCTCTCCTGCCTTAGTAACAGAATCCGGTTTTCAGCTGAAGACATTGCTGTGCTATCAGCCTCCTGGGTAGCCAGATTTTGCCTGTGTTCTAGCCCAGCATGGTCCAACAGAAATACAATGCCATCCTCATAAGTACTTTCAAAGGAAAAAGAGGAGCTGGATGGATGGTGGCGCAGTGGTAAAACTCAACCTTTGCAAAGCTGGCCGCGTGGGAAGGTCCCAGGTTCACGCCCGAGATCTCCCTGAATATAGATAGGGGTCATGGGTTCACATGTGGTCCAGGGCGGGCCAGGGATGGACCTGGCATCAAGGCCCTACTGAAGGTGCCACCTAGTTCTGTCTGTCTCTTTCTCATAGAATGAATAAATATTTTAAAGTAAAGAGAAACAGGTGAGATTAACTTGGGTATTTTATTTAATCCACTAGAATTACCACCAGCTTTCTTTTATCTGAGAGTTCATAGTTTAAGTCACTATTTTTTTAGTAGTTTTGGTTAAATTCAACTTACTTCCATCTTCATTAATAAAGGAAGGCCTGTTTCTTTTCACCTTCTCCCACTTCTCTGGTGGAGACACTGAACTAGATTTAAGAGCCAAAGAGATACGGGATCCCTCCCCAGTTGGAACTGGGATTCTCATTTGACATACCATCCAGGACTGTCTAAGTGCATTCCAGAATGTTCCCACAATGACAAAATCATCTAACAACACGTTCTGTAGACCATGCTCCCGTTGTTAAGTGAGACGGGTCTACGTGGCTCTCTAGCCCACACGCGGGCTCTCCTTGGCGGGGCTGCCAATCCAGGGAGACAGACATCAAAGAGTAACTGCAGTCACTTGGGCCCACAGGTGCTGTAGTGGTTAAGGTGCTGGACTCCCGCGCGGCCGGTCACAGCTCGACTGATTTTCAGGCCAGCAGCTTGAAGATCACACTGGGTATGGGTGTGTGTGTGCCCAAATCCCAGGAGGAGAGTAGAGAAGGACTGCAGCATGGCCATCCACCCAGGGGTGATCTCTCACTTTCTCTCTCACTGTCTCTCTCTAGCAAGTGCACGTGCCCTAAGGCAAAAACTTAAAAACAAAACAAAACAAAACACACATAATCACTCATTTACTACACTTAGTTAAGTACTGAAAAGTACAGGATATCTTATAAAAGCATATTACTGGAAAACCTAACCTAATGTACTACAGGGGTGAGGAGGGGTGTCCCTAAGAAAGTGACATTCCCAGAACCAGCAGATGACGCAATGGTTACGTTGCTGGACTTTCACGTAGTCCACCGTGGTTTGAGTCCTGACCCCGGTGGCTTAAAACTCATGCCAGGGGGGACCAGCAGGTGGTGTGGTGGTTAAGGGTGCTGGACTCCCACATGGCCGACCATGGTTCGAGTCCTGGACCTGGCAGCTTGCTTTCTCACTGTCTCTCTCTCTCTCATTTTGTTCCTCTCTGGTCAAATTAAAATAAATAAATAAGGCTAAATAAAATAATTCTTTTAAAAAAAACAACTCATGCCAGGTGCATGTATGTGCATGCATGCCTGCCCAAAATCCTGAGAGGAGAAAGGAGGAGAGGGGATTGCAGTGTGGCCATCCTCCCTGGGGTGATGTCTCTCTCTATCTTTCTCTCTCTCTCTCCGGTGTGTAGATGCACCCTATAGCAAAAACTTCTCTTGAGATTTATTTTTCCATTTATTGTTTCACATTCACAAGAAAACAGAGAACAACCATTATTGCATTTTTATTAGCTTTGCCTACAGAGAACATTTTAAAGTAGACTTTGTGACTCAGGTTACATTAAACTGGTCCAAAACTTGAAAAAGAATGATATTTCAGTCTCAGAGTGAAAAAAACTAACCATACTTAATACAACAACATTCCCTTTTGAATAGTTTTGAAAAAAAATTCATAAATTACAAAAGATATTTTAAATTAACATAACTTAATAGATTAAACATTTATTTCATATGAAACAACTAACTTATAAAATAGTTAAGATTCATTACATTCTTATCAATGTCACTTTTTGTAATCTGTGATTACTTATATCCTTTAATTTGCTTTCTTCCCTGTACATTCTTTTTCTGTACTAATTCCTTTAGTTCTTTCACCTCAAAATTTCTGAATACCCAGCAGCATTTAATTCGTCCTAGTATTCTATTCAGTCTTGGTAATAATGTTGATAACCTAGAGATTTATTTTTAATAAAAAATACATTTATTCCATCTCAATAGCCCCAATTCCCTAGAGTTTTTGATGATGCTGAAAATAATTTATCTCTCTGTGATAAATACAAGATTTAATTAGATGCAAAAGAGTAAGTCGAAGGAAAAACATTTGAATGTCAAAATGAAATAATTTTTTTCTGATTTGATAACTAGCTTATGTTTTGCTTTGTTTTTATTATTGTCCCAATTACTGAAGCTTTACTATCATTCCATCTTTATTACTTTTCTGTTACTGATTTTTCTTACCAGTTATTTATAAATGGAAAAAAAAAAAAAGCTCAGACACAATTCAATGGACTATCCAGTGTGTGAAATAAACAATTCTATCATTTTGTTTAATTTTTACTTTGTTTTTCAACAAAAAGGAAGGGATTAAATAAAATAAATCAATCTTAATTGTAATCTTTGAGTTTATTTTGTATTATCTTGTGCCTCTCTATTTCTTGGGGGTAAACTTAGGTGATTTATTTATTTTTTAGTTTAATGTGAATGTGTAGTCATGCTCGCTTCGGCAGCACATATACTAAAATTGGAATGTGAATGTGTAGTATGGCATTTGTGAATGACCATTATTCAAGGAAATAGTCCACTTTGTGAAATGAGCAGCTTCCCACATTGGTAGCAATAATCACCCTTCAAGAACAACTCATCTAAACAAATAAATAAGTAGATAGATAGATAGATAGATAGATAGATAGATAGATAGAAAGAAAGAAAGTAATCTTGGTAATGTAGAAATAGCCAGCTAAAAGAGAAAGAAGGATGGAGGAGGAGAGCAGGACAGGGAATACTCCAGGCAAAGGGAGCAGCCACAGAGCGCGGTGCGAAGATGCCGAGGCAGGAAACCAGGCGTGCCTTGAAGTCAGGTCAGTTTGTCCAGAGAGCTGGAGCGGGCAGGTAGCAAGAAACCAGCTGGATGGCCAGCTGCAGGTGTGGTGGTTAGGGCCGCTGGATCCCACATGGCCAACTGCATGCTTGAGTCCTAGACCTTGTGACTTGGAAAACACTGGTGGGGCGGGGGTAGTGTGTGTGCCCAAAAGGCAGAGGGGAGGATGGAGAAGAAGAGACTGTGATGTGGCCATCCATCTGGGGCGTGCTTCATCCCTTCCACACACAGACCCCCAGACCCTGTTTTCCTCCGGTGAGTGTTCACACCCTATAACAAACTAAAAAGAAACAAACTGGAAATTTTGTCTTGGTAAGTTTTGTCTTGTCCAGGTAAGACTATGAAAAGAACTGAATTAAGTTCAAAGAGCTCTTAAAAGTTTTGAGCAGAAGAGCCAACAAATAGCATAGTGGTTAGGTGCTGGACTCCCACATGGTAGACTGCGGTTCAAGTCCCAGACCCAGAGAGTTGAAACTCATGCCACATGCATGTGCGTGCGTGCCCAAGATCCCAAGAGGAGAATGGAGAAGGGATTGCAGCATGGCCATCCCCCCCTGGGGTGTGATTTCTCACTTTCTTTGTCTTTCTCGGTATCTCCGGTAAGCACATGTGTTCTATAACAAAAATCTCTCTTAAAAAATAAAAAAGTTTTAAGTAGAGGGCCAGCCAGTAGTGTGGTGGGTAAGGCTGAATCTCACATGGCCAGCTGCACGGTTTGAACCCAAATCCATGCACCAGTGTATGCGTGTGTATGTCCAAGATCCCAAGAGGAGAATCGAGGAGGGATCGCAGTGTGGTTCTCCTCTTTCAGTGGTGTGTTCTCGCTTTCTCTTCCTCTGTCTCTCTCTGGCAAATGCATGCACCCTACAGCAAAACCTTTTTTTAAAGTTTTAAATAGGGGATGGACATTCACTCATTCATTTAACAAATATTTGATATCTCTGGCAAATGTACACGCCCTATAGCAAAAAATAAATAAATAAATAAGTTTTAGGTAGGGGAGGGGCACTCATTCATCTATTCATTTAACAAAAATTTGCTACTTTTTTTGGAGAGACAATAGGGCACGTGCATGTGCCAGAAAGACAGAGATAAACAGAGAGACAGAAAGTGAGAAATCACCCCCCGGGGGGATGGCCACGCTGCAATCCCTTCGCCTCCATTCTCCTCTCGGGATCTTGGGCACACACGCACATGTGCGCAGCGTGAGTTTAAGCCACTGGGTCCGGGACTCGAACTGCGGTCGACTACATGGGAGTCCAGTGCATGGGAGTCCAGCGACATAGCCATTACGCCACCTGCTGGTCCCAAATATTTGCTACTTATTATATGTCAGGCATTATTCTAGGTGCTAGAACGACAATATCATATTTGGTTTAAAATAGATTTCCTTGGATACAGTGCGGATGATGGTTTGGGAAACGGGAAGGCCAAAACAGAGCTTCTGGGGTGTGAAACACCCAGACATAAACAGGACATATTTACTGACAGCCGAAGAGACAGAGAACATGCACAAGCTTAGCTAGGGTCAGATGTTGGGGCCGGGAGGTGGTGTGGCGGTTACGGGCACTGGGCTCCCACGTGGCTGACAGCGAGTCGGCTTTCTCACTTTCCCTCTCTCTCTCTCTGTCCCTCTCTGGTCACATTAAAATAAATAAATAAACTTAACTAATTCTAAAAAAAAAAAAAAACCAACAACCAGGAACATGTGGACTGGAGTCATTCACTATATAACACACCAAGATACAGAGAAAAGAAATCATGGGAGGGATTCTGAATAGCTACTGAATTAAGAAACTTAGGCCAAAGCTTTCCAAAGTCTGGTAGAGAGCTCGTAGGGTTCACTGTCCCCGTGTCCCCACCCCCACATAGAGAAGGTGGGAGACCTGGCGGGGCTGACAGCCCTGGGCCAGATCTGAGTCCTCACAACCCCCATGGGAGTGGCATCCAGGCTCTGGGAGTCCCACAGCCTCCCAGCTCTCCCAGAGCATGAGGGCCCAGCTGGCCTTGCAGCTTAGGTGCTGTGCACGGGTGCAGGGGGCATGCCACTGCACTCACCACGCGCCAGTGCCACAGAGGGGTCCTCAGCACGGGCTGAATAGATGGCTCCCTGCCTATGAAACGGCTCCTTCTAGTACCTCGGGGCTGTGCAGAGGAAGAAGGCTGAGTGTGTAGTTACACACGTGCCGGAAGAGCTGGGAGTGAAGGCTGCCTAATGGCTCCACCAGGGGAAGGAGCTTGGGGAAGGACTTCTAGAAAAGCTGGGCCCATCGCTCTGGGATTTCAGCAGGTGGCAGATAAGACGGCCGGCAGATGGAAACGATCATCTTTCTGCCCTTTGACAGGAGGTTAAGACTGAGCAGCTGTCACCAGGCGAGGACAATGGCGAGGTCTGGGGGCCAGAAGCTCTTACCTGAAGGCTCCCAGGCCGTGGGAGAAGATGATCAAGGGGTATCCAGAGTCCTTTGTCTTAAAGGGGCCATTCCAGCTAACAGGCAGACGGCAAGATCCTGGCAGAGACGTGGGCTGTAGAATCCTCGGCTGCCCCAGAGCTGTAATCCCAAGGGCAGCCCAAGCGCAGGCACGGACAGGATGTTCTCCCCCTGTGGAGGGCTACCAGTGCTGATGGCTCAGCCATCAATCTCCTGTCCCCTTTTCCTTCGCGGGGAGAATGCACATCATAGAAAATGGGAAGCAGGTGGCATGGAGATTAAGGCACCGGACTTCCATATAGCCTACCACGGTTCAAATCCTGGACCTGGTGGCTTGCTTTCTCACTTTCTCTCTCTCCCTTATCTCTCTGTCTCTCTGTCTCTCTCTCGTAAGCACACGTGCCTTGTAGCAAAATTTTAAAAATAATAATGGGAAATAAAAAAATCTTAAAAAAAAAATAGAAAGTGGGAAGATAGACCCACAGGTAGTGCTGAACAGCTCGGGGGGGAGCCCTGATGCCAAGGCAGTGGCAGCACCCGGCCGGCCTTTGGGGAAGTGCGGGACTCAGCGCATCCCCACCCAGGAGAGTGGAGGGCTGGCGGAGGACTGCAGGGGCTGCCTACTCGAGAGTAAAGAGCGTTTTCTGGGAGACACGCTAGCTGGCCGAGGAACAGCTGCCGGCGACGATCAGTGTGTCCCACGCCCCGCATGGAGGCGTCACAGGTGCCCACACGCCCACCCTCAGAGGGAGCTTATTAACTTGCCCGAGCCCCAAGCTAGTCACTTAGGAAGTCAGATTCCAATCTGGGACAGCCTACCTTGGCCACCAAGCTCTCACGTGTGTAGCTATCCCCCCACTCTCCACACCGTCCTAGCTGAGGGGGACCCTATACTGCGGGCTGTGAGGTACTGTCAGCCTGAGGATCCCCCGGGAACATGACCAAGCGGGGCCGTGCCGGAGCCAGGCCAGCCCTTACCGACGGCCAGGTTGAACAGCAGCCCTCCCCAGCGCTTGTTAAACTGCAGGTAGTCAGCCAGGCCGGCGCAGTACTCAGAGCGCGGGATCCACAGGGGCTGCTTCGTGGCCTCCTCCGCCTCTTGGCAGGGGTAGAAGAGTCGAAAGAAGCTCCCCTGAGGGAAGAAGAGGACGGCTGCTGAGAGCAAGGTGCCAAAGCACCTGTGGAAGCCCAGACACACTCGCAGGTGTGGGGGCCCAGCACAGCAGAGAGCTCAAGCGTCAGTGAACACACCTGACTGTCCGTTCAGGAGATGCAGAAAGGGCAGCTATTTCTAGTGTCCACGTAAGGCTTGTGCTATCTCAAATGCCTCGCTGCATCTTGAATTACATCTGGGGGGAGCATCCAAAATATTTTGGGATATTAAAATATTTCAATCTGGCCCTGAGCCCAGACCTGGAAGAGCCCCAGAGCTAGAGGCCAGCTTTGTGCTGAATGGGGTGGCAACGGGGTCACCCAGGCCACTCCTCCAGGCCGGCCCTCAGGAAGGAGCACACATGTGGAGGAGGTGAAGGCCTACCAGGACGTGTTTGCCTCTCAGGAGAGGAGTCCAAGGGCCAGCCGAGAAAGACCTCGGAAAGGGCAGGAAGCCCCAGCAAGGGAAACGATGGGGACACGAGGGAAGGAGAGCGGCCTGTCCTGCCCAGGTCTGGAGGCAAAGGCAAAGCGCGTGTGCCCGCGACTCCTCCGCTCAGACACCCGATGGGGTGAGACAGAGAACCCTCCCAGGATCTGGCATCTGCTCTCCAGGCAGTGGAGGGGGTCTGTGAGCTGTCTTGGAAGCTAGAACTCCCCTTTCCTCCTGGTCGGGAAAAAACTCATCACTTCTGTCTTTTGGGCTGTTTCTCACACGGGGAAAGAGGAGAGAAGGGACTAGGGGCTTGGCAGGGAAACCACCCGTGGCAGGCAGAGGCAGAGGGGAGGGCCGGGTGGGGACACTCACCTGGAGACTCTGACCCTCCATCACATCCCCACAGCCCACGCGGTGGGGCCCTGTGACAGGTGGGAAGCCCACAGACTGGCCGACCCCCATCTCATCACCAGCTCAATCGAATGCCTCGGGCGGTGCGGGACTTGCTGGCTGGAGGGTGGAACACAGAGCAGCCCCTCGCCACTTTCCTCCCAGCGTCCTGTTGCGTGCCCTTGTCACCCCTCCCTCTCGCCCGTACCATCCTGCCCTTCCTGCCAGTCACTCCCTAGATCTTGGCATCTGCTTTGGTACATACAGACTTTGCTAAGGTGCAGGGGTTGCCGTGTGTGCGTGTGCGTGTGCGTGTGCGTGTGGTGGGGGAGCGAGGAGATGGTTGTGAAGGGAAGAGAGCTTCTATACTCTTCAAAACCCACCAATAATGGTTTACTTAGCACCTGCTATGTGCCCAGCAGAGCAGTGACTGCCACAAAGACTAGCACCGCCCTGCCCCTGTGAGGCCAGTACTAAGCACAGCTGTGCCACGTACCCTGCGAGCACCACGCCGGACTCTACATGCATGTGCCATTCCATGCCGACAACAGCTCTCTGAGGGTGGGACTCTTAAGACCCTGGTTTACAGGGGCCAGATAGTGACAGCGTGTGAAGGAATCTCACATGGAAGGTTCCTGGTTCAAACCTGGAGACTCCCTGAGTACAGCCGGCCCATGGGCTGGGGCTGGGCTGCGTAGCAGTATCAAGATCTGTCAGGCGTTGCAGACACTGTGGAAGGAGGCTGGGAGAGGGGAAGAGCATGGGGAAGGAAATCGGGGAGGAAAACTAGCGAGGCAAGACATTGTGGGACACAGAACTGGTTTGTTACGTGTTGGTAATAACGTGTATATTATGTTCAACTGCCCTGAGGTGTATTTCATGTTGGCTAAACTCCTTATATGCCAAATGAGGTATAGTGATTGAATGTTTAAAAAACATGCAATTTAAAGTAATAATAATAATAAATAAAATTAAATAAATTGAAAACAAAGACTCTGTTGGGTACCGTCAGTCTCCTGGTCTCTCTCTCTGCATTTCTCTTGCTCATGGAAGAGAAAAAGGCCATGGCTTACAGACGAGGAAACTATAGCGCAGAGAGGGTGAGTCGCCTTCCCATTACTCTCACAGGTGGCAAGCCCAGGTCTGCTAGCCCAGACCAGCTCCCGAAGACACTCATCGGACACCAGGGGCTACGAGGTGGCACGTGTGCTGGGCCTTGGAAGGGGAGGGTGTTTAGGGGCAGGAAAGGAGGGAGAAAGCATCTCTAGGCAGACGTGCGAGCGAAGAGTGTGACACGGGCAGTGCACTGAACTCGAGCCCCCGACAGGGCGGTGTGCAAGCCTGTGTCTGGGCAGCACCCCAGGAGTGGCTTCCTGAAGTGGGGCTGAGGCCACCGCTCCCTAGCCCCGTCAGTCCCACCATCACCATCATCACACTCTAGCAGGATCAGGTTGTCGGGAAAGTAGCGACGTATTTTTCTAAGCAAATGCTCGTGACTTTCCCAACAACCCAATATTATTTCATTTGATCCTTACAGCAATCCTCTGAAATGCGTACTGTCACCTCTTTAACAGATGCAGACGCCGATGCTTGATCACACGAGGTAATTTACCAAGAACATAAACTAGGAGAGGCAGGATGTGAATGTGGGCAAGGGGGCCGGAATGTGGAGAATGTGGTCAGATCCCCAGGGCCCAGGGCCAGCAGGTGGCGTAGTGGTTAAGGCACTGAACCCCCATGTGGCTGCCCTTGGTTCAGCACCCAGACCCAGGGACCAGCCATTGGCATAATGGCTATGTCGCTGGACTCCCATGTAGTCGACCACGGTTCAAGTCCCGGACCCGGTGGCTTAAACTCACGCCGGGCGCGTGTGTGTGCGTGCCCAAGATCCCGAGAGGAGAATGGAGGAGAAGGGATTGTGGCGTGGCCATCCCCCCTGGGGGGGGTGATTTCTCGCTTTCTGTCTCTATGTCTCTCTCTGTCTGTCTGGCGAGCGCACACACCCTATAGCAAAAACCCCTTAAAAAAAAAAAAAAAAAAGACCCAGACCCAGCAGCTGAAAACTCACAGTGGGTTCATGTGTGTGCATGCCCAAGATCCCAAGAAGAGAAGGGACTGTGGTGTGGCTATCCCCTCTAGGGGGTGATTTCTTGCCGTCTCTTTCTAGTGAGTACATGCACCCTATAGCAAAAATCTCTTTAAAAAATTCCCAGGGTCCGATGTTTTGAGATTTGGGTGGGGCTGACACTCCTAACACGTATAGTTGGGCCTCAGTTAACCTGAGCCGGTCAGTCCTTGTTACCCCCTGGCCAGTATGTGAAGAGTGGACATACGACATTAAGCTGGCCCGATCCGAGTAAAAGCCAGGACTCTGGTTTGATGGTGCAGAGGAGGAAATCTCTCTCGTTTTGAACTAGTATGATGTGCACTGACTTTGCACTGCTGTGCCATGTTACCACCTCGAGGACAAAGCTGTCCATGGTGGGGGGCGGCACTGGGAGAATCACCGAGAAATCGAGTCTCATTCATGAAAGGTGTAAGAATTCCTGGATCAGGCCATCCCTGAAATCTGCTTCTCTCCTAGACTTTCTAGTTACGTGAGCCAATAAATTCCCTTCCTTGTTTTTGTTTGTTTGTTTGTTTGTTTGTTTTTGAGAGTTTTTTTGCTACAGGGCGCATGCGCTCGCCAGACGGACAGACAGAGAGAGACGGAGAGATAGAAAGCAAGAAATCACCCCCTAGGGGGGATGGCCATGCCACAATCTCTTCTCCCCCATTCTCCTCTCAGGATCTTGGGCACGCACACACAGGCGCCTGGTGTGAGTTCAAGCCACCAGGTCCGGGACTCAAACCGCGGTCGCCTATGTGGGAGTCCAGAGACATAGCCATTACGCTAACTGCTGGCCCCACCTTTCCTTGTTTAAACTGAGTTTACATTTCTAAATGTATTTATTTCTTCCATAAGGCAAAAAGAGAAAAAGAGAGAGAGAGAGAGAGAGGCACCCCCATGAGAATCTTCAAGCCACCACCAGCCCAGCCTCGGTCAGTAGGATGCCAGGCATGCACGCACACCCAGGGTGCACAGAAAGATCTCAGGACCAGAGCCCTGGGCCCTCCCAGGTGGTCTGGGCATTGCAGAGCATCGGGTGGGTACCAGGGCACCACCGCGGCTTGCCTCAGTTAGACTCCTGCTGCTTTGCAAACCGAAGCAGCTAAACGGGCACACTGAGTCCCAGGCCCACCGTGAACGGCCCATCACGTTACTGCTTCCTGTAAGGGGCCCTGGGAGGAGTCGGAGTTCCAGTCAAAGCAGGTCAGAGACCTTCTGTCAATCTTCCTCACCATCTTCCCTGTTCCTCGTTCTCTTTTTTTTTTTTTTTTTTGAGAGATTTTTGCTGTAGGGCGCGTGCGCTCGCCAGACAGACAGAGAGAGACATAGAGACAGAAAGCGAGAAATCACCCCCCAGGGGGGATGGTCACGCCGCAATCCCTTCTCCATTCTCCCCTCGGGATCTTGGGCACGCACGCACACGCACCCGGCGTGAGTTTTAAGCCACCGGGTCCGGGACGCGAACCGCGGTCGACTACGTGGGAGTCCAGCGACATAGCCATTACGCTAACTGCTGGTTCCCCTCGTTCTTTTTTTATTTTTAGGTTTCCTGCCACAGGACACATGCACTCAACGGAGAGAAAGAGAGGGAAAGTGAGACATCACCCCCCAAGGGAGAGGGCCACACCCTTGGCCTCCATTCTCCTCTCGGGACTTTGGGCATGGATGCACACGTCTAGCGTGACTTTCTGGCCACTGGGTCTGGGCTTGAACTGTGGAGTCGGCCACTAGGAGCCCAGTGTCTGGACCACCACGTCACCTGGCCCCCCGGACTTTACTGATGAAGAAACCAAGAGCCCGAGAGATCAAGCGAGCCGCTCAAGGTCACAGTAGAATGATTATTACCCACAGAGCTCCAGATGGCCAGCTTCCAACTGTCCGATCCAGTGAAAACATCATCCTATACATTTCACTTCAGGGGATAATTACTTTCTTTCTACTACAGATTTAACTCCTTCATTTGGTTTCTCTGAAGCAAATTTTAAAATAAACCTCATTCTTGGCTAGCTCTGTAGACTAGTGGTTAAAGAAACGGCTCCCATATGGTCAACTGCAGTTCAAATCCTGGCCCAAAGACTTGGAAAACATGCCAGACGTGGGACCAGCAGTTGGCGTAATGGCTGTGTCACTGGACTCCCATGTAGTGGACCACGGTTCGAGTCACGGACCTGGTAGCTTAAACCACGTTGGGCGCGTATGTGTGTGTACCCAAGATCCCGAGAGGAGAATGGAGGAGAAGGGATTGCGGTGTGGCCATCCCCTCTGGGGGGGGGTGATTTTTCACCTTCTGTCTCTGTCTCTGTCTTTCTGGTGAGCACACACACCCTATAGCAAAAACCTCTCCCCCAAAAAAACATGCCGGATGTGTGTGCAAGTGTGGCCCAAATCCTGACAGGACGGAGAATGGAGAAAGGACTGCGGCATGACCACGGCTCACTGGGGGTTGCTTTCTCCCTCTCTGTTCCTCCCTCTCTCAATCTCAGCAAGTACACACCCTCTGGCAATGATTTATTTACAAATTTACATCTAAATAAATATGTAAATAAATTATTTTGCAAAAGGCAGCTCAGCTCAGCCCAGACACAGCGGTGTGCAGACAGTGCTGCTGCTTGGACAGCTGGAGACCATACGGGACTCCGGGAAGTGGCTCCTGGGCCAACCTGAGCATTCCCGGATGGCTGTACATGCCTGTAATCCTTGCTACTGGACAGGCTGGGGCAGGAGGATCACGACACCAAGAGACTGTATCAGAGACACCTATCTCTGGGCCAGCCCCATGGCCTGATGGTTAGAGGAGCCAGATCCCACATGGCAGACTGCAGGGCTCCAACTTGGCCCCAGCAGCTTGAAAAACACATGAGGGCTTGGAACCAGCAGATGGCGTAATGGTTACGTCGCTGGACTCCCACAGAGTTGACCGCAGTTCGAGTCCTGGACCCAGCAGCTTAAAATTCATGCTAGGCATGTGTGTGTGCGTGCCCAAAATCCTGAGGAGAATGGAGAAGGGACTGTGGCATGGACATCCTCTGTGCAGGGTGATTTCTCACTTTCTCTTTGTCTCTGTCTTTCCTGCAAGCATACCCACCCTATAGCAAAAATCTCTCTCTAAAAAAAAAAAGAAAAGAACAGAAAAAATACAGGGTTTTTGTGTGTACGTGCCCCAAATCCCAACAAGGAGAAAGAACTGTGGTGTGACCATGCCTCAGTGGGGGGCTGCTTTCTCCCTCTCTGCCTCTCTTGCGCCGCATGCGTCATCTGGCAATGAGAAAAAAATAAAAAAGATTTTTAAAACTTATAAAAAAAAAATTACTGGGACCAGCAGATGGTGTAAGGTTAAAACGCTGGACTCCCACATGGCCGACCACAGTTAAACTCCCAGACCCGGAGGCTTGAAATTTACACTGGGCGTGTGCATGCGTGCGTGCCTGCATGCCCCCAAAAAAGACGAGAATGGAGGAAAAGGGATTGTAGCTTAGCCATACCCCACGGGGGTGATTTCTTGCTTTCTGCCTGTCTGTCTCTGTCTCTGGTGAATGCACGCGCCCTATAGCAAAAATTTCTCTAAAAAAAACCAAATTTCTCTCTGTTTTTGTCCCCTCTCCCCTCTCAAAAGAAAGGAAAGGAGCTACGCTCAGCTGTAAGGTCTGGGGGAAGGGAGAAGAGACATGGCGGAAACATTCCCGCCAGCAGGAACCTTCCTGTCGTCCACACCTGGCCCGCCACCACCAACGGACCTTCCTGCCCGCCAGCATTTGGCACGCCCGCCAAAGCTGAGCAGAAGCAGCAAACGTCATTGGCCAGACAAAGACCGGTGGTGACCAGCTATTGGCCAACGGCCCTTTAAGAACGAGCAGCACCCACCCTGGGTGTGACTCCCTCGGCCTCTGACCAGACCGAGGCCGAGGCCGAGGCCGAGGCCGAGGGACCTCACCGGAGAGCGCAGAATAAATTATGCTGGCTTTATTAAACCCCAAGGCCTGACTCTGGTATTTTCAGCTTTGCCGCCCTGACTTCGCCACCGCTCCCAAGTCAAACCTAACATCTGGTGCCGAAACCGGTGCCGAAACCCGGGAGGGGCTGGATGCCTCTCGGTTAGAGCCCTCCATGGACCTCTCATGCGGTCATCCAGCTGGGAAGGTAAGCGACCCCAGCCCCGGTTTTTGGACCTCCGGAGTGTTTCTGTCCGTAGTCACGGCAGTGCCAGGAACACTCCCCGTCCCTTCCAGGTGCCCCAGGGGGTACCCTAAGGATCCTCTCGTCTCAGGGCTGCCTGGACGCCACTTTCCTTTGTCCTCTTCCATTCTGGGTGCCCCAGGGGTACCCTAAGGATCTTCTCCTCTCAGGGAAGCCTGGCCGATACTTCCCTTTACCCTCCTGTCCGTAGAGAGATTATACCCAAGGGGGAGGCCTCTCGGCTCATTCTCTCTGTCCGAGCTCTAATCCACCATGGGGTCTACCCCCTGCAAACCTGATCCAAAAACGCCTTTAGAGTGAGTCCTCCGTAACCCAAACGCCGCCTGGTCTTCCTGTGGACCAGGCTTGGCCCAGATATTCACTAAGCAATGGATCGATCTGGCCGCCCGAGGGCACTTTCGATTTCAACGTCTTGACCGACCTTACCGGTTTCGGTCAGAGTAACGGCAAATGGAAGGGAATCCATATGCTCAGGCTTCGTGGGGTCCGCGCTCTCGCCCCGACCCCTGCACCACCGGCTCTCCCTCTCAGGTTCTGCTTGCCAAGGCGGGCGAGGGCCCAACCCGCTCCCTGCCTTTCCAAGGGAACTTCTGAACCCCCTGAATCCTCTGCTCTCACTGCTCCCCCGGAATCTCTCTCCTCTCTGCCGAGACACCTTCCTAACCCCCCATTAAACTTTCCCGAACCCTCTGTCCCCCACCCCCTCGGCCACCAACCCCCTGTCCTCCCCCACTGCTGGCCGTACAGGCTGGAATGACCCACCCACCCCAGGTCATGGCTCCCTATGGGAGGTGGCCAGGGCCAAGGGAGTCGTTCGAGTCCCCGTTCCTGTCTCCCTTGTGGATCTGTCCGCCACTGAAAAGCGCGTGGGCTCCTTCTCTGCCAGGCCACCTAGTTTATCTCACGCAGGCTTGCGACCTCACCTGGCATGGCGTCCCCGTAATTATGACCTCCACCATGGTGGCGGACGAGTGTGACCGGGTTGGAGCGGCGGGAGGAGAGTACACTGACAGGGCCCGCATGGGGGACGTCACCGCAGCGGTGGGTGCTGAGGCGGTCCCCGCAGTTGATCCCGGCTGGAGATACCAGGAAGGTGACCTCGGCCGCCCGCATTGCAACATGTTCCCATGCCTTACGGCAGGGTTGGAACAAGCAGCCCCAAAGGCAGTCAATTATGACAAATTGCAAAAAGCCACCCAGGCTCAAAAAAAATCCAGCCATGTTTCTGAGCCGCCTCTGGAAAATCCTGTTGGGGCAGTAGCTCTGGCCACCCATTTATCACCCAGTCAGCCCCGATAACAGGAAAACAAAAACAAGAGACTCAGAAAGGCTGAACCAGACCTGGTGAATATGGTAATTACAGTTTTCAATTCCCAAGAGGAGGACGCTGAGGTAGCTCGTCACAAACAGGCCACACAGAGGCTGCCATGCAGGCCCAAGCCCTGGTGACCGCCCTGCGGCCGGCATTTCAGAAGGGGGTCCCTCGACGCAGTCTTCCCCCAGGAAACTGCTTCAAATGTGGCGAGCCAGGCCACTGGTCCCATAAGTGCCCGGACCCCAGGCCGGCAACTAAACCCTGCCCAGGGTGTGGCAAAATGGGTCACTGGGGCTCTGTCTGCCCCAAAAGAGGGAGACGAGATCCACCCCCGACGCCTCCTCGCCGAGAGGAGACCCACCACCCTGATTTCGACCAGACCATGGTGGGATTGGCTGAGGATTGACAGGCCCCGGACTTGACCACCCCAGTTACCCTCGCCGAGCCCAGGGTCCAGCTTCAGGTAGCGGGCAAGTCGTTCACCTTCCTGGTGGACACAGGGCTACCTACTCCGTCCTCCCAACGTATCCCGGCCCCTTATTACCCTCTAGGTCTCTATCGTGGGTATTGATGGCCAGTCCTCAGGTCTCTCCCTACCGAACCCCTAGCCTGCTGCCTCGGGAAAACCAACTTTACCCACTCTTTTCTTGTCATTCCCACGTGCCCCACACTCCTCCTAGGCCATGCAATCCTTAAAAGGTTACATGTCACCCTTCAATGTAACAACTGCCCCTTCCTTGGCCTCCTCTGCCAGGCCACCTGTTCCCCCCCCGGACTTAATTCCCCTCCCCTGCCCATTTCTCCAGACCAGGTCAGCCCCACAGTCCCGACTCTTACAGACCCTCTTCTCTCCCGCACAGCAGGAGCCTATGTCACCTCTGCCCTACCCTACAATGACTGTTCAGGCCCTCCCGGTCACACTGGCCCTGGTTCTCTCTGCTGGACTAGCTGCAGTGGCCCCACAGGAATGGGTGTTCTGGAAAAGGCTTTTGCTAGCAGTGTTTTGGTTTTTTTTTTGTTTTTTTTTTGAGAGGTTTTTGCTATAGGGCACATGCGCTTGCCAGACAGAGAGACAGACAGACAGACAGAAAGTGAGAAATCACCCCCCAGAGGGGATGGCCACGCCACAATCCCTTCTCCATTCTCCTCTCGGGATCTTGGGCACGCACGCACACGCGCCCGGCGTGAGTTTAAGCCACCGTGTCCGGGACTTGAACCATAGTCGACAACGTGGGAGTCCAGCAACATAGCCATTACGCTAACTGCTGGTCCCTGCTAACAGTGTTATACCTCCTACTCGTGAGAATCATGCAAGTCTAAAATGTCTGGAGTGGCTAACCGGGGCTGCCTCCTCCCCACGCGGTTAGCCGTGCCCGGCCTCCTCCTCCTCATGGCCTTTGGAATGGACTCTGCCCTGACAGTTACGGAGTGGGAATTCCAGGTGCGACACACATGGGGCGGTCCAGGGATTGTCAGTATGACTGCTGGGGACAGGCGCTCCTCATGTCACTCTGCAGTTCGACCGTTCGGGCACCGCAGCCCGACGGTCAGTCTTCGGCCCCTCAGGGCAGCACCCCCATGACCTCTAATCCAGTCCCATTTACCAGCAGGAACCCGCCTGTCTCTCTCTGGCTGGCCGCCCG